CTAAATATTATTATTTTCATTTTTGTTTTATTTTTAGAAGTAGTTGATGTTTAAAGAGACTAAGTGACTCACCGAGGTTGCTTAGCCAAGCCCTGAACCTGTGTTGCCTGGCTAAAATTCCAGGCATTTTCTCACTTAACATATTACCTGTCAATGTAATAGCAAACTAGAAATTGTAATCCATTTTAGTATTTTTCCATTTTATTATATTTAAGTGAGGACTTCCTCTGTGAAATGCTCTATTAGGATTATATCAATAATGTGATGTTTATACATACTAGAACGAATTTTGCTGAATTTTGTTCTAGCTTTGTCCTTCAAAGTAGTTACCTACAGGGACAGTAAATTTCAGAAATACACTCTTACTTCAGGTTTTCTAAGACTCAATTTGAGAATTTCCTGTTAAGACCTATAGCGTGTTCATTTGCATTATGCTCCATTGTGGCCCTTTCTGTCTCTCTGTCTCTCTGTCTCTCTGTCTCTCTCTCTGTCATTGTCATTTGTGAGTAGATTGAGTTTTAAAACTCAAACCAAAGGGGTTCCAAACTGTGGCTAGTAAATAAAAAAAGAGTGAACCTAGACAGTAACATTTGGAGGCAGAAGATAAAAAGTATCTGTGAAATAGGAGCCAGTAGGTGGTATAGTGGTTATGGCACTGGACTTCCACGTGGATGACTGTGGATTGGGTCTCAACATGGCAGCTTGAAAATCATGCTGGACATATGTGCACGTGTGCCCCAAATCCCAAGAGAAGAATGAAGAAGGGATTATGGCATGGCCGTACCCCTAGGGGGTGATTTCTCACTTTCTCTTTCACTGTCTCTCTCTCTCTCTGGCAAGTGCACATACCCTATGGCAAAAAAAAAAAAAAAAAAAAAAAAAAAAGAAAAAGAAAAAGGAAAAAAATCTGTAAAACAATGAGACTGCCTTTTTGGGGGCTTGAGTTTTAAAGAGTAGACAAGTTAGGAATGAGAAAAGGTTGTGGACCAGCCGGCGGCATAATGTTTACGTCACTGGACTTGCATGTAGCTGACCACAGTTCAAGTCCTGGACCTGGAGGCTTAAACTTACACTTGGCGTATATGTGTGTTTGCCCAAAATCTCAAGAAGAGAATGGAGGAGAAGGGACTATAGTCTGGTCATCCCCCCCAGAAGGTGATTTTTCTCTTTCTGTGTCTCTGTTGCTCTCTGTCTCTCTGGAGAGTGCATGTGTCCTATAGCAAATGTCTCTCAAAACAAAAGAAAAAAAAGGAAGAAAAGGGTGTATGTGACCAGCAGATGACGTAGCAGTTACGTCACTGGATTCCCACATGACCGACTGCAGTTCGAGTCCTGAACCTGGTTGCTAGAAACTCATGCCAGGTGCATGTGCATGTGTGCCCAAGATCCTGGAAGGAGAATAGAGGAGAAGGGATTGTGGCATGGCCATCTCCCTGGGGGTTGATTTCTCACTTTCTCTCTCACTGTGTCTGTCTCTCTGGTGAGTGCATGTGCATGAATGCAAAAACCTCTTTAAAAAAAGGGTGTATGCGTACATGTATTTTATACATAGTGGTCATTGCTTACTTGGATTTTTGTTATTTCAGGACTTGACTCTTAGAGTCCTGAGAGTTCAGTAATTTTTAAAAAGCCTCAGGTAGCTGGCTAGTGTTATCATCACCACTCACTTCCTGTCAACAAAAGTAAGGCTAGTGCTATTTCTTGAAGATTGTATAAGGATAAATTGTTTGCGAGTAAACAGTATGCCTGTCAGCCTCTTGATTAGGTTCTCATAAAGTAGCAGTAATAGATGCTCCCAGGGGCTGGCTGGCAGGTGGTGTGGTGGTTTAGGGCGCTGAAGTCCCACATGGCTGACAGTGTTTCGAGTCCCAGACCTGGCGGCTTACTTTTGTTTTCCTCTCTCTCTCTGTCCCTCTCTGTTCAAAATTATAAATAAATAGATAAAGTTAAATTTTAAAAAATTATTTATAAAATAAAGTTAGAGATGGTTTGTCGTTTGAGCCAAAGAGTCCGAAGGTTTAGTTCCAGATATTGGTATTCTGAGTGGTAAGCCACTTTAGCAGGCCACTCTTGTTTCTGAGATGTTCAATGACGTCTTTGATCTTTTATAAATGAGCAGGCCCTCTGAGTATGCAGTGATTTGCTGACTGTTCTTTTGGAGATTAGCTCTACTATGAAAAACACTTCAGAGTGGTGGTGGCCAGTCAGTAAAGCTTGTGATTAATTCCTCACTGTTGTCTTCAGACTTCATTCTTAGCCCATAAGAGCTTGGTCACCTTGTGGAGGAGAATTTTTAATGAGTAAGGTCTGAGTCAGTAGTTGAGGTTCATCATTATTGACACAACTTTAAATAATTATTGAGTTTTTTTTTTCCAAAGTAATTTAAACTGTAGTATTTAAATAGTTCACTGAAAAACAGCAACAATGTATATTTTGCTAAACATCTTATAGGTCTTATTACATTTAATCCTCAAAACATTTATAAGGTAGGATTATTTTATTCTGTCTGTTTTTATAGAGAAGAAAACCAGGGCCCTGAGAGGCTAAATAACTTTACCCAGAGTTGTGTAGCAAATAAGAGGTGGAATCAAGGTTTAGAATCAGGCAGTGTGATCCCTTTAAATGAACAACTGTGTTTTGCCTCTCTGTAACAGTAATGAGTCATATGATTTTATTCAACTTGGTGTGGAGAAAGAACATGCTAGCTTTACAAAATAATGCACTGAATGTGCATTGGAGCAAGTGTGTGATCATGACCAAAGACTAGCAGGTTTTCACTTTGAAGTGTTTACAAACACTTCATTGAGCAAAATAATCTGTTGTATTTTTGCATTGCTCATAGTCAACATTGGTTGGTCTTCTTTTCTAAGGCTTTACCTTGTGGGTTTCTGTTCTGACCCCATGGGGTACAGGAACTCAATCATATGCCAACTTTCTCCCCCATCTTCAGCCCTGAGGTGACCCCCAGAAGGGAAAATCATGACCCAAGTCTAGCTGCTGGCCTGTGTGTCTGTCTGTCTGTGCTTTCCCGTCCAAGAACTGATTCCCTCTCTGAGAAAATTGGAAAGGCTCCTGGAGGCTGCTGAGAAGCTTTGATGTAGAGGTAGCAATTGAACAGATTGTCCTTTAGAATTAGCCAAATTTCATTTTCCAAATTTAAAGACAGACTTCCAAGAAAGCTTTTTTTTTTTTAAAATTTTTTTTTTTTTTTTAATGTTTTGTTCTAGCATCCAAAAAGACCCAACTTCAGTTCCAGGCTTGAGAGTTTCTCAGGGCTATTCTCATTCTAGGTGGAGGATGGTTGGCTTACTCTCAGATGGCATGTGTTTTAATAGCTGTATGGCTGGCCAGCCAGCCTTCACCTCCCTCCTGCTAGGCTCAGAGAGGAAGTCCAGTTGACAGCTGCTGGGCACCTCCCAGTAAGCTCACCAGAGTATTTCAGTGTTGCTCTGTGACAGATCTGAATTCACACCCCTGCCAGTAGCTTGTTAATATTGTGGCTGCCTCTACATTACTTAACCTTTTTGAGTCTTTACTCATCTCTAAAATGAGGAGTGTAATGCTTTCAGGGTTAATGTGAGGATTAAATGAAATAATGAGTTGACTTGACTAATAGTGGATTTGGCATGTAGTATGGACTCTTAGTTCCTTTTTGTTATTATTTAATTTACTTATTGTCTTTTTTTTTAAGTTTATTATAGGGCAAGTAACAAATCACACAAAGTCACTTGTGAGAGACAGAGAGAAAAAGAGAGAGAAAGTGAAAAAGCAAGCCACCAGGTCTGGGACTCAAACTACAGTAAACCCTGTGAGAGTCTAGCACCTTAGCCATCATGCCACCTGCTGCCCCTGTGATTGTTAGTTTCTGTTATTAATATTAGAGAGGCATTTAGGGTAGCAATTAAGAACAAGCAGATTTGAGAAAGACACACTTGCCTCTGTCTGGATTGGTCACTCATATTTGTGTTTAGAAACAAACTACATTAATTATTAAAAAAGAACAAGCGAATTCGATTTTGATTGCAGTGTCTCATTTTAAAGCTGTGCAGCCTTTGACAGTTGTCTTAATCTCTTTCAGAGTCAGTTTTCCCACCTGTCAAATGGTAATTATACCCCCCCCTCGATAATTATTGGGAGGATTCATTAAGCTAATGCATGTAACACAAGTGTGATAATATTTGACACAAGTTAAGTCCACAATTAATTAAAGCTCTTTATTATAATCGATACTGTTAGTGTGCCTCACAGAGGTCCTGCTTGCGTTTTATCTCTTAGTGACCTTTATTTGTTATCATTTAGTACATTGTATATTGTCACTGATTGCTGAAAGGCAGAGGGTATCACTTCTTTCTTGAGTCATTGCTCCAAAAGACAGATTGTACTGTAAAGTCTCAGATATCCTGCTGATTATCTATTTTTCTTTATCCTCTTGCTCCAGCTTTTTTCCCTGACATATAATGAGGGCACACTCAGCAGGGGTCCTCTCATCCAGCCAGACACCCATGTGATGATGGGTTACCTAAAGAAAGATGACAGGAAAAGGAGACTAGAAAGACTTAAACTCAATGAGGCTCAAGTGAAAAAAGCTGATATGTAAGTGTGGTAGGCAAGATGGTATTTGCCTTGCTTTTCAGAATTCATGCCCAGGGAGGGAAAATAATTATAGAAGCACATGGAAGTTGGAAGGAACCATAGAGTTTATGTAGGTCACATTATCTGAAGCAAGAAAACTGAGACTCAGAGGGGAGAAGTAATCTGTGCAAGACTACATAGCAAGGTGGTTATGGGGCTAGAGCTAGAAAGGGTGGTCGGCTGCATCCAAAGTTCCTTCAGCCCATGGTCTTACTCTGTGATTCTATGGCCTCCTCTGCAGTAGCATAATCAGAGAGCACTGTAATTGCTGTGTATTTTAGTTGAGCAAATTATTACCAGTATTTAAAACACAGTTGGTGTGCTTCTGCTAAACTGTCATATATTTATATTTTATTGTTATTTTCTAGGGTGTCAGATGCCTGATACATTCAATTCATGGTTTCTTGTAACCCTACTTCATGTCTGGTAAGTGAGTGATTTAAGTGAAGTCACTATAAATATATATATATATTTTTT